CGGCTGGAAGGACCAACGTAATCAGGGACCTTAATCTTCTTCTTGAGTTGTTATAAGACACTGACTATTCAAAAGTCCTCAATAGATTATTATAGTAATATAACAAACGCTTAGGTGAAAAGAGAAAAAACATGCATATGTTAGAAACCAGTAAAGAAAGTCCTAAAGTCGGGCGGGCCGATTTTATGATACACTACACCACTTTGCTAATTTAGTTGAGCTCCACATAACAATTAAAAGTTTTTATGGAAGAATTCAATCATACACCCTATAATTATAATCTAAATTTCAAAGGACTAAATATGCCGAAGCATTTGTATCTTTTAAATTCGGACTTGTATTGCCCATTTGGTGCAAAATTAATTTGAAATCAGATAAAGATATATGTGGGAGCTATATCCAAATCTGAACCGATCTCGATAAAATTTAGCAAAGATATTTCTGAGCTGTATTTGATATATTTCCCTAAATATTATTGTTACAGAGTGCATATTACGGCTGCGGAGGACAAAAATAACAAATCGGATGAACAATATATATGGGAGCTATAGCTTTATCTGAACCGATTTCGATCAAATTTGGCATACATATTTTCAGGTCAAATCTGATCGTACGTGCAAAATTCCATGTTATTCGGACTGATATTACACGTTTGGTGCACAATTAAAGGCAAATCGGACGAAGATATATATGGGAGCTATATCTAAATTTTGACCGATTATCTCCAATTTCAATAGGGTTCGTCCTTGGGCCAAACAAATGATTTGTGCAAAATTTCATCTGGATAGGGCAATAAATGCGATCTGTACTTTGTTTACAAAAATGCATGGACAGACGGACGGACATGCATAAATCGACTCAGAATGTGATTCTATGCAGATCAACAAAAGGAACTATGGGTCTATCTCGTTTCCTTTTGCCTGTTACAAACAAATGCACAAAGACATAATGCCCTGACCACCTTGTGGTGTAGGGTATAAAAAGAGGTGGAAAAGGGAGACCTTATAGAGAGATCTCACATGTCTAGCTATCTTATAATTAGCAAGCACCCACCCTAAACGTTTTTATCAGTCCGTAGCCTATATTACATGAAAAATATTTTCTTCTACACAAAGTGGACACCAATAACAATCCTTAGGGACACCAATAACAATCCTTAGGGTAAACTTATTTTACAGACTAACAACCTTATTTCAGAAGAAAAGATTTTCTTTTTTGTATAGACAATTTAACTATTTTTTCTCTGACTATTTTTTTAAAACATTTCTACATTTTTCTACATCTTAATTCTATTTTACCTTAAGCATTATAGACTAAAGTAAGCAGCTTTATATTTGCTGAGCTTGGTTTTGATTAAAAAATCAAGCATAAAGATTGATGGCGTTTTCCTTGTTCCATGCTGAACAAATTCAAATCGTATTTTAATCAACTAAGAATATTAGAGCGTTAACAATGTAAAGTGAAACAGGAAGAAAGTGTAAAATGTATGTTTGAAAACAAGTTAGCTAAACAATTCCCATCAATCATCACTTGTGCGGTATAAATGGTGGCATTGATTTTGGAATAAAGGAAATGAGAGAAAACAGTTATTCTGCGATTTCATTTTCTTATAGAGCTTAGGATTTCCTTACATGAGCTCAGAAATTAGTCTTACTAGAAGATGCAGAAGCATTCCTTAAATGATCTTAATAGTCCTTCTCAATAGAATCACATAAATCTGACAGACATCCCTCATAGGATACAATAAATGTCATAATTATCTTCTACGACAAGTTCCAAGAATATACAAATTATGTCTTCTATTAAAAAAAACACTTCCATATTCGTTCTTAAATGAATTCTAATGACGTTGACGTCATGTGCTCCCCAGTTGATCGGCAATGTAATAAAAGGACAGACAAAATTAATTTACCAACTGTCGCCAAGTAAATATAGAAAACGAAATCATTGTCCTGACATAAAACAAGTACAAACGTCAACATACATACATGCCCACATACAATTCTAACAAAGGGAAAGTGAAAGTCATTTGTAATTTGTTCAATCTGCAAACAAATAGGATTTTCCACCAAACTATGACAAGAGGAATGAAAGGAAGGGGGAGTGCATAAAGGATGGGAGGAGCAATAAATTGAATGTCATACCAGTAAAAGTGACTTCTGACGACATTTAAAGAAACACTCAATCTATCAGCAGAAAAAGAAGAAGAAATAAGTATTCATTCAAGTGTGGGTGTTATGCTCCCCGTTCACTGTGTTCTCTACTCCACCCTACCCTCCCCCAACAAGTGTCCTGTTTCTATTTCAAGGTTATTCATAAATGTAATAACAAACCAGAGAACAACAGCAATAAACCACAACCACCGCCGCCAATAAACATAAAGAAACACAAATAAAACAAACTGCGACAGCAATTCTCTTTGATGATACTAACAACGAACACACAACTTCGGGATAAAATAACAAAAAAGCTTTATGTGTCTACCATATTGCAGGATAATACAACAAACATATTTTTTTGGTTTGTTTGCTTTTTTAAGGTTCTAGGTCGAGGACAACAACATGGAGAGCAATGTAAAATTGTGTGTATCGTTGAAATACTTTAAAAACATCGAATGTCCATACAGTTGAACTTGAATGCAAGGCTACACACACGCCCGCAAATTTTGAAGGTAAAACTTTAAGGGTGGTATGACAATTTTGGAGAAATTTGTAAAAAGTTACACATTAAGTTAATAAATAATTTGAATAAATTTGTGTTTTATTAATAGTTCTATAGAAGAACTTTAAAAATCAAAGGACAATACATATGGTAGCTATAAATAATCTTGAATCGGTTTCGACATAAATTGCCGAAGGTATTTCTAGACTGTATTTGATATATGTTAGTATATACCATTGTTATGGAGAACCTATTACGGTTATGGGGGATTTGAATATGAGAACGGATGAAACATATACATTGAAGCTATACAGGGTGAGATGAAAGAACTGCAACCTACTTCAGACTGCTGTCATTACTAAACCACTCGTCCGACAGATATTAAAATTATTCCAGTTACAGCTCATTATATTGTTTACAAGCGTACAAAAGCATTTTGGTGAGAATTTTCGAAAAAAAATATTCGTGTTGGAATTCAAGCGTGACTAGATTTTTACCACAAGTGGCTATCGCTAGAGCACTCCAGCATTTAATAATATGAATAAATCGTTTGTGTTTCGTACCATCGCTAATTACTGTGATACTGGTAGCGTAGCCCGACGTCAAGGAAGACGGAAGAAAACAGCAACATCAGCAAAAATGATTCGAAAAGTAAAGAGGCGACTTGATCGAAACCCGCGTCGCAGTGTCCAAAAAATGGCTCGTGAGCTTAACATATCGCAATATTCCATTCGTCAAATATTGAAAAATACGCTCGGGGTAAAGTCCTTTTACATTCCAAAAAGTGCAAGAACTTACACCGCAACAGAAAGAAAATAGACTCTAAAGAGTTGCTTCGCTTGGCCGAAAGTAGTGAACTGCCGAATTTGGTTTTCTCCGATGAGAAAACATTCGTTGTCCAGCAGTTTGTAAACAAACAAAATGATCCTGTTTACTAGCTTATCCTGTTGTGTCTGCAGTATTTTGAAAAGCAAGGTTGGCACTAAAAAATACCAAAGTGTTGATCACCTCAAGCAAACGCTTCGTCGGGAATGGGCCAAAATACCGCAGAGCAACATTCGGGCAGCGTGTGACGGTTTCATTGGGCGTTTGAAGGCCATAATTCGTGCCAAAGGTGACCAATTCGAACAAATCTAAACTTATTCCAAAATTTGATGCTATTTCCGACATTTTTGTCTCACCCTGCACATACGGCTATATTCGGTATTTTTAAGATTTTAACAGAATTTTTAACGGATTTTATTTATTTGAAAATTGCCAAATTCTTTAAAAATTGTGGAGGGTTCGAAGTTCGACCCGCCGAATTTACAGCTTGTTTACTTGTTTTGTTTTTGTTGGTCTACCATGATATTTTTAGTTTTTACCATTTTTAATGAATTCTTCACTGCATTCTATACCCTCCACCATACTGTGGTGGGTATATTTACTTCATCATTCCGTTTGAAACTCCTCGAAATACCCATACTCTGTCTATCTGTCCCCCATATAATGATAACTCTCAATATTCGGTATTTTAATGGTTTTAGCAACACTATTCACCGAATTCGTTTCAAATTTCGCATTGGAAGATGTTAATATCTATGACAACAAATTACTTATGCAGGTCGACTCCTTCGTATAGTCCCTATATAACGGTACCTTCCAATATTCTCTATTTTTATAGTATTAGAGACTTTATAGACCGGAATTGTTTCAAAATTTGCATTTAAAATTCATAATGGATACTTCAAACTATGGCAGAAAGTTGTATAATCTGGTCCATATCTTGGTATACCCCACATATAACGTTACCTTCTTTTTTCGACATTTTGATGCTATTAGCGACATTATTCAACGGAATTGTGTTGAATTTCGTATTTTAAGTTCCTAATGGGTACTACAGCCAATGACAAAATTTGTATGCAGGTCCTCTACATATAGTCCCCATATAACGGTTTTCATATGAACGGTAATTTTCGACGAAATTTTCTTAATATTTTGCAAGTTCCTTCCAAATGGTGGAGAGTATCGAAAGATCGGCCCGGTCGAACTTAGCTGTTTTTTTACATGTTTATTATGCAATCTCCAATGTGAAAATGTTATTCAACTGTCAAAATTGCTCCCTTCACTCGCTCTCATTTACTGTACCTCAAAGTCATCTACCAACATTTTGAAATAATTTGTTCAAATTAATCACTCAAATCTGAACCAATTTGGACGGAAAATATGATGTGTGCGAAGGTGAAGGGAATACACTCTTTACAATACTTAAACTCAATTTTCATAACATCCTCATTAAAAGGACATAGTAACGTGTAGGCAAACAAATCGGCTTTCCCCTCCCTGAAAATTTCACTTACCTCAATATTCCCCATCGTTTGGAACGATGTAAAGACGAACATAAAGCCAAAGCCCAAAATGAGCACATTGACAAATTTGATATCCATGTTTGTGGATGCTGCTGTTGTAGATGTTGTTGCGATTACAAGCGAATTGATGCAATAAATATAACTCTCAGTTGCAGTTGTTGCTTCTTGTTATCAGACGTTTTAAAGCGTGAAATGGACTATTGTTGGCGTTTTCGTTTTGTTCTAAAACGCAAATACAATATTTTGAAATTTCTTTGTTATTAGTCTATGCTTTTTATCTGCAATTTGCGTTTTCAGATCATTTCTAAATCCAAATATATATACGAACACGCATACACACACGAAATCGTATGCAGGCAGATTGCCTCCAAAACAAAAGCAAAAAATGTGCGGTTTAAAACATCCGGGTAAAGCACCGCATTGAGATTAGTTAGGAATGTATTTTAGATTTTTTTTAGAAATTTAAATTTTGGGGGTTAGTAGGAAGGTACTTTTTTATTATTAAACTTAAGCAACAGCTTTATTCAATATTTATTTCATTTGTTTTCAAAACAAAATTGACTCGTGTAGGTACCTATATCCCGAATAGCGGCTCCACCCGTAAAATCACGTAATTGACAGATGATTCTAAATTCCAATTATTCTTCTATTCTTGTAAGAATTCCGTTTTTGTTGATAGGAAAACCCAATAGGAGACGACAGCGTTACAAAATGTAGGGCGTAGATTTATTATGTTTATTTTTTTTTTTTTTTTTTTGTAATTCGTTTTAAATTTATTTTCCTCTTCGTACTTCAATTCACTTTTTGCTAACACAAAACGAATTAAACAACTGAAATTGCAGCAAAAAAACTTAGCATTCAATTGAAAAACACATTTTTCGCAGTGATGCGCCCAACACAGAATTAAAACAAATCGAAGCGAAGCGGCGGCGGCGATACACACGACAGACACGTTGGAGCATTCAAAGCAAAATGAGTCGAGCCAACAGACAGGCTATTGAATGAGTAAACAGCCAAGCAAGCGGCTACATACTACAATGGTTACTAATAAAGGCAACTGTGACGTCGATGGCAACGCCGACGTTGACGTATTCACTGAGTACACAAGCAACAACAAAAATCAAGTTAAAGAATTCTCAATTCCACTTGCAATGTCAGTGCCCTACCCCTCAAAGCAATGTTTGAATGAATAATTGAAATGCCGAAGCATTTGAAGCGTCGCCCATCATAGGCCAAACAAACGACGGACCTACAAGTTATGGAACGAAGAACCAAGAAGCAAAACAAAAAGAGACAAAAACAAATCTAATGACAAAGCCCCCCATTTATGTAGTTTGTTTTTATTTTCCGTTTCTCTGTTTTCGTTTTATCTACTTGCTTCAGTTTACTCTAGCTCGCCCTGTCAACCAGAGAGATTGAAAGAGAAAATATTAAAACGACAGCGATTTGTTTGTTTAGTTTATTTTGGCTCCCCACTTGCCAGGGATGGGAAGTTATGTAATAAAACTGCATAACTCAGTAACTTGTGAGGAAGAGCAAATTATGGACTATTAAGGCTGTGATAAAGCATACATATATTTTCCACCAAAGTAAGGATGCATACCCACAAAGTAAAGGAAAGCTTTAGACTTTCGTCTTCAACCAAAAAATATACTTTTTGGTCTATCGTTTTGTACAAAAAACTAAAACTCTGCTTTCAGGAAATTCCGTTAGTGTTTTAATTATAATACCAAAACCTATCTGATAAGGTCACAAATGAGACGAATTCATTCATAAGTCTTCTCTTGCCGTGACAGATTCCGCTTGTAAGCCTTCAGATATAAGAAAATGGAAAAACATAATCATGGCCGTTATAAGGTCGGCCAGTTACCCTTTCCATGATTTGAAATTCAAAGAGATGCAAAAACAAAAAAATATATTGTCAAATACTAAATGTTATACAAATCCGTTAGAAAATATTGCTAAAATTGTGAAAATACCAAATATTGGGTGGTACCGTTATATGGGGGCTATACGAAAATGTGGATCTATATATATTTATTTCTTCCTGCACAACAAGATTAATATTTTATAAATTACAGTACCGGCGACAAATATTATAAACATTTCCAACTTAGACTAAAGCAATAAAATACATAATTTGATCAAGAAAATTACATATATTGTTTAGTTATTTATGTTAAGTGTTTGTTTCCATATTTTGAAAAAAAGAAATTAAGCCTATTTTTAAAGATATACACGTTGCTGATGCTTTGTATGTCAGATGGAAAAGTATTCCAGAGACGAACTGTCCCAAAAAAGAAACCCAGATTTTCCTTCTAAAAGGCATAATCTTTTTACCTCTATTGGATCTGTTAAATGTTATTCTATTGAAGATATATTCTAGACTTTATTTAACAATAATCTTGTGTAGAAGTGTTAAAGCTTTTGTTTGAAGGAGTTTTTTAAAACTAATTCAATATAAAGAGCAAGAGTACAACCGAACCTAAAACCTATTACGAACCATGGTACAATGATATCAAGGTAGGGTTATGATACCATATGATTTTAATTTTTTTATTTTCTTGGCTTAATATGTCATCTTTATTTGTTTATGTATGTGTTTTCTTTTCAATAACAAAAAAATTGTTCAGAAAACATTCAAATTCGGGTGTTTTCAAAATGTTTATTTCAACGTATGCTTCGACAAAATCTAGAGTTTTTGTAGCGAAATAATCCTTTAGAGATATATAGTACATGATTTCGAAAAGAAGTCTTGACCTTTCATTCAGTTATCGCGTTTTTCAATTATTTATTCAAAATAAATTCATCAAGTTGTTTGATTTTTTATTGTTTTGATACTAATTCTGACATTACAAGCCAAACCGGTAGACCTCTATACTTGCCATTTTTTCAAAGTATGCCTACCTTCCCTTCATTGTACCATGTGACGAACTACAAATACCATTTCTCAGACAAATCTATGGAAAAATGTGGCAAAAATTATCAAAATAGCAAATATCAGGAGATACGGTTATATGGGGGTGGGTTACGAAAACGTGGACCTATTTATACAATATTCCGCAATTGGAGCTAGAACAAATTACAAACCAATTTTTAGACAAATCCAATTTTTAGACAAATCCCTCAAAAACGTGGCTAAAACCATCAAAATACCCAACATTGGGAGGTACCATTATATAGGGGTTAACACATATAGTTAATGTATTGCCTACAGAGGTAGGATCCGTTAAAACCTCTTAATATCAACTTTGTAACAATATCGTTGAAAAAAGTGGTTAAAATCATTAAAATACCGAATAACGTGGACCAATATTCATCATTTTTAATACCAACCATTCTAGACACAATACACACACCTGTGCCAGATTTCTAAGCTCTACATCAAATAATATGGGCTGTATCGTGATTTCAACAGATAGACGGACATCGCTAAAGCGACTTACAATCATATACTGTTCAGGTCCACGACAATGTCTTAGATGTGTTATAAACGGAATGACAAAATTAAATTTAAAGTATAAAAACACATGATCGTTGCATGCATGGTACATTAAGGAGATAAAACAGCTTCTTAAAACTATAGAAATACAGCCCTTTCTTTCAAAAGTGTGATCCAGAATCTTCAATCTTTTAATTTCACATTAAAACAGCTTAATAGCTTTAATGCGCAATATACGTTTCTTCGAATCATTAATTTTGAAATTTTTTTCTTTTTATTTTTCAAAACAATTAAACACACAAAATTGGCAGAAATTGGACACACTTAGAAAAAAATTGTTACAAGTTGGTAGCTTCACTTTACATTTTTTATTGTACGGTAATAGCAAATTCGATTTAGAAAAGTCGATTTGGGAATTTGACCACACGTAAACGTCCTCATTAGCAGAACAACCAAACCTTTCTTTTGGTCCCTAACTCAAAGGCAACTTCCTTTAATTACTGAAAATACAATATACGACGTGGCTTTTGCATAGAAATTTCATTGTTTTAGTAGTCTCGTAGATTTGGCAATTTTCAAGAGTTGCTGAATGTTACTATAAAATCGATTCAATTGTATAGCTATTTTAAACACTTAGTGGGAGAATACTTAGATTTTCTCATATTTGGGACATCTAAAGACATGTCACACACCCTCAAGTATATATTGTCATTCGGAGTTTTTCAATTAGCTTATCATGCATTATTGTTGTGAAGATGCTATATTTTTATACATTGAGCAAAAGATGCTATCTATAGTGACTTCCCACCCCTGTCAGTTGTTGCAGCCAAGAGAGGACATTTATGAAAATAAACAAAAGCTCTCTCTTCTTTTTTGAGTTGGAACACATGTATATTGCCTATTTTTTGTACCCTTCTATCCAAATAACTGCTTAGGTTTGAAAGAAAACTTTGTTTTATTTAAGAGCGAAATGGAATAATAAAGAAACATTAACCTGAGAATATTAACACTTTTATTTATTTGTAGAGTAATCAACTGGTTATTGTCATTTCCTTTCTCCATATTTTTTTCTGAACTCTTCCCATGTAATAAAGAAAACAGTGTTGGTGAGTGCAAGAATACTGCTCATTAGATTTGGAAACCGTTGTGTGAACTATACGTAAGGAAAGTACAACATTAGAAGTAAAAGAAATAAATACGCAGTTTGAGTTGAAAGATAAATAATATCAGCTTAAAGTTGTCATAAATATTATAAGATCACAGGTATTCATTATTATCTTTATCCAACAATATTTTTCATTCAATATCAGATCAAATAAACAACGTTGTTTCATATTTGTGCACAGTTTTTAACTTAAAATCGTCATCTAAGATGAAAATCAAAGTTATCTATAGTTATTGTTTATATTTTATCGATAGAAACAAAAAACCTTCTTATGATGACCAAACTGGGTTTCGCTTACACAGAATCAGTCAAGATCAGACACTATTTTTCCTGGACTTTTCAAAACCGTTGATCCCTTTTATAAAAAAATGAAATAAATAATTAAAAAATGTACTGCATTCGTCCACTAAAACCCTATATATCATTACATTATTAACATAACCTGAGAATTTTAGAGTTTTTTTCCGGACAGTTTATATTCCAACGTTTGTAGAAAAGTATATAGAAGTTTGTATTTGTTTAAAAGTGAACATCTATTACGTCTGCTTTGAAACATGTCAAAGTTATGTCAGCTCCTTTTAAACTTCTAGTTCAATGTCATTATTCAGCTCTTTCTTCGGTATAGTTTTATGCCACGATTATATTCAATATTCCTTGGGCGCCCGTTTGGATCATGTGAAAATGCAAGTACTGTATGGTGTCCCTGATGAGTATTTCTAGGTGTTGCAAATGAAAAGAAATATATAATAACTAAGCACATCACAAAGGCTTTTAAATTTCTTCTACATCCACAAATGGCATGTCCACTTCAGGTCTGTACCATCATTTTGAGCAAATGTACCTTCTAGTTGAAGCAGTATGGTCCTTCATTTAAATAATCCTGTCTCCCGATTTTGAGGTTTTGAGAATTTCAGCCACATTTGTCATCCAAATTATAATTTTTGGCAAAATTAACAAGGTAATGCCAAATTTATCTATAATTTTCAAATAATTATACCCTCAGCCAAGGCTTAATAAGAAAGGTTGCTCAACTTCAAAGAAACTAGATAAATGCAACTCTGTGCTGGAGTCTTATAGTGTCAAATAGACTTTTAAATATGCAACAGTTGGATTTGTTTATTTTAATTTTTTTAACAAAATTCTTATATTGGGAAAACCCGCGAAACAAGAACATCCACCTATATCAGTTTAGAATTTTAAAAAGCGTGAAAGTATTGTCTCCATTAATATATTATATTATGTGAAGTGTTCTATAAAAATAAATCTAATGTAAATATGGCCAAAGTAAATTTTCCATTGGATCTTCAAATAGGTCTCACCCCATTTATTATCACATTTTTGGCTTTTACAGCCTTTTCGCCGATCTCATAAATGTGTAGTCTCTAATTAAATTTTTTTATTGTAGCACTCAGTTTAAGGCACCCTGTATCTACCCACTCACAAACAAAAACATCCGTTTCCTCTACATCTGTCAAATGAATAAAAACTTAAACAAATTGTTAACGTTTACCAACACTTACTTCGAGCGCCTATAAATAGGCAACATAATAAAAAACAGCAGGCAGCACTCAACACCTGAGACCTTTGGTTGACGAAATAACAAATTCAACGGCACTCATCAGTATTGACTGGGAGAAGATACAGAGCAAACACATCAATAGCTAAAACAGCGGAACTCAATAAAATTAAAATAAAAAAACAACATTCCAGTAAACAAAACATTTGCAAATTTATTGAGCGTCTGTGATTGAACGTAAATGCAACAACAACAAGCTGAAGAAGACACCGGGACAGGCAATTAAATTTATTTTGTGCAAAATTTCCATTTGAACGCCTATATACTCTCATTCGTTTCCACTCCAGGTAAGTATGTTTATAACGGTGACCAGCCAAAAGTCAGACAATGTTAGTAACCGACAACTACTTTTCTACATAATTTAATTAATGGCATGATGGATGACAACAAAACCAACAACAACAATGGATATGTACATGGTTTCGCACTCAACCCCCGTTCCTCTCCAGGTGGCCTCCATTCCATTTATAGCAACCGCAACAAGGTCGCCCATCTTCTTCCACAGCATTAAGAAAGCGTTAAGGTATAACCTAACCGCCCCAGACAATGACAACCGCCGACAATCATAATTTATTGAGAAGCCTCATCAACGCCGCGGAGAAAGCAGCCAATATAGCCCGCATTTGCCGTTCGAATCAACAATTGTTGTCACTCTTGGTACGGGAGAAGACTGGAGATGAAGCCAATGCCAGATTTGAACATGATTTTAAAACATTAGCCGATGTTCTCATACAAGAGGCCATAAAACACGACATTGGCAATGAGGTATGTTTGTTGTGTTTCTTTTGTTATTGTTTTTGTTATGGATAAAAATAAACTCAGCTATAGATAGAATATTTTGCCTTGATGTTGATTTTTACAGTTTCCCGAAATGAAGGATAACATAAGGGGCGAAGAATCACCCAACTTTACTAATGCCAATGGAGATAGTGTTGCCATTGTTGTGGGTCCAACGGCATCGGAGACAGAGGCATGTTTACTTGCCATTCTACAAGAGGAGCATCAGGAAGCTGCAAAACTATTAGCTGAAGAAGTACATCGTGAGGTGACATTTGATAGGGAGTTAAGCGAAGAAATACCAGAGTTACCAAATGATGTGGATTACTCACAGCTGGGAGTGTGGATAGATCCGATTGGTGGGTATTTTGCAAAGATTATAAAAAAATCGGTGTTTTTTTTTAAGGACTAGTACCATAGACAAATTAAAGTATAGACTAGAAAGTGTTAAAATTTACCCCTTCCGGCAGATGTCACTATGGTTGATCTTGGGACAGTAAAGTCACTCAGGGCTAGTGAAGTCACTCGACTTCGAAAACAATTTAATTTTTCTGCTATTTAAGTTCTACATTTTTATATTTCACGACATAGTTGGGTAATGTCAATGTAAACAAAGCCGCTGTTTCGTTTTCAATTGATAAATAATAATAAATCATATAAATATTCAATATTTTGTATTTTGAGAGAATTGATTGAATAGACTTATGCTCTCTCACAGCATGAACGTTTGTTATTTGTCTATGCTAGTACGGCGAAAATGGAGAGCATTTCAAATTGTTATGAGAACATAGACACATCAACATACCTATAAACTACGATCTCTGAAGAATGTGGCTAGAAAAATGGAAGAATCGTTTTTGGAAGAATCGTGTAAAAGGACTCTCTCGTATATTTTGAATGGGCCCACATACAAATAGATTTTCGAAGAATATTTTAAGTACTAACTCGCCTATAAACGTTCTGTTTTTGAAGATTATATATAAGGAATATCACCGCTTAAGCGAGGATTTTTGAGGAATATTTTTTCAAGGGTCCAGCAAATTTTATCTTGGATGTTTTGAAATATATTTTTCAGGACTTTTTTGAAGAGACCAATCAAAGGAGGAGGAGGATTTTTGATAAATATTTTAAAGAACCTATTCAGTTATAAATATAGATTTTTTGGACCCACACTGCTATAAATATGGACCTCCTTCGACTATTTATAAAAGGCAATGCTAGGACTTTAAAAAATATATAATTCACTGTAGGCGAGGCTTTTTCAGGAATTTCTATATCAAAACCCCAGTCAGCGAAAATTTTTTGTAAAATATTTTTACAGAGACCCATGCACATTTTATCGTACTCCTTTGGTTTTAAAATGGATTTTTTTAATATATTTTTAAAAGGGAAATACGTGCACCTAATATTGTGTATATCCTGAAAAATATTTTTAGGAAACGTACGGCTATGAATATTATTTTCAAATGACATTAACGGCTACAAGTGGATTTTTTGAATAAAATTTTCAAAGGATCCACATATTTTGAACCGGCCTGGTTGATATTTAAGAGCCAATTTTTCAAGAACATACTTATTTTTTATGAATATTCTTCGAAGACTCAAGCTGCAATAAATCCGAATTTTGTGAAAAAAAAAACACATTTATAATTTATTTAAAATATAAAATACCAATTAGCTGATCCTAAACATTCTTCTAATCAATACAGATGCTACAGCTGAGTATATATCGGGCGATACAATGTTTACGAATTTCCCAGGCATAACATCAACCGGACTGGACTGTGTCACCGTTCTAATTGGTGTATACGACATAGCCACGGGCATTCCCCTAATTGGTGTCATCTGCCAGCCATTTCTCAACAAATTACAAGAAAATGTCTACACATCAGCAATGTTTTGGGGAGTGGCGCTTCCAAATTGCCAATCTCATTGCAAGTCCTTAAACAACTCCCCCTCTGATCGGGGTCGTCTTTTGGGTATTTTTTCCAGCTCCGAACGTGCCGAGCTATTACAACAGATGTTAGAATTAGGCTATGAATTTGCTTTCTCAGCTGGTGCGGGCCATAAAGCTCTGAAAGTTATTACCAATGAAGTTGATGCCTATGTTTTGAGTAAGGGATCCACCTTCAAATGGGATACATGTGCTCCACAAGCCATTTTACGTTCCCTAAATGGTGATATTATTGAATTCCAAACAAGTATTAAAGAAGGTAAAGCCATACCCTTGAAATACATCCAAAGTGAGGAAGAGAGGGAAAATGCAGAAGATACGACCGTGGATTGGAAATGTAATAATCATGGTTTGATTGCCGTTCGAGATGTGAAATTATTTGATGGTCTACTGGAGAAATTGGCAAATAGTTAAATATTCAACAGTTTGGAAAACGTCTATTAGCCATTAGAATAAGTTTTTGTTGACATGGTCCAGAGTTTCCTAAAATATTTTTGATGAGTGTGTATGAAGAAACAAAGAACAAAAACCAAATTATATGTATGTATTTATATAATAGTAATAATTTATATTAAAATAAAGAAGAAATATATGTCTATAAAAAGGAATTAATGTTTATAATTAAAAAAAATAATTTTCAAGGGATTATCATAGCCAAAGAGTGATTGTTTGGGAATATTTTTACAGAACAAATACAGTGAAGTAATGTCTTAAGAAGGTTTTAAGATGGGTAACTACTTACAAACCAACTTACTTACCTCTTACCAGCCCGCTTATCTTATGTTTAAAAAATAGGTCACCACGGAAATTCATGTACAGGAATATATTGACAATACCAGATAGATGGGTCTTTCCAATCTAAGGTCTCTGTTCTCCCACTAAGTATTTTCAAAACATTCAAATCTGAACAGTTTGCTGAACGGAATACACTACAGATTTCATTAGAATCTAGTATCCAGTTTCTCACAGTACAGCTCAGTTGTTTGAAAATTGTTTTCCCTATGTTCACTTGCGACTTTTATAGATGCTTATATCAGCCATTCTATGCATTAAAGTGGAGTAATATAGACAGCATCTGTCTTCTCCAGAACAAATTGTTTACCTATCTGTTATAAACAACGAGCTGGATCAATAAATCATCTTTCTACACGGGCACCTTTACTAAAACGGATAATTGGTTACATAACTAACTAGAATTGTATAGGTAGCGGACGTTTTTCAGCTGCAATGTTAATTGGTATACTAATGTCATGGGAAGCGACCCTGTTGTCGTTATCGGGGCGGGATTCTACACTGAGTTGTACTTATATTCATATGACACCCTGGATTTGCATAGCTAACCTCAGTCCGATTTGTCGCTTTATAAGAGATTATCTGTTCTTTTTTTTTCAATTTATCGCAGATAGCTTTGGCTTACGCTGTCGACTCTCGAATCTGACCCCTCCTAGGAGCTTGGGATAGCTTGTGGTCAGAATACATGCAGAATGTCATGCGTCAAAGAGCGAAACTGCTGAATTGGTGACAGATATTTTCATATTCCTCGCTAAAAATAATGTAGCAAGCTCCGTGAGATAGGTGTTTAACCTAACACACATTTCACCAACGACAGGACCGTTCAATAACCTGCATAGGTAGGTTACTTTAAAGGTAGCGCGGTTACCGTTTGGTAACCGCTCCATTCGGAGACCTACTGGTCCATTGTGTTCATCCTAGAAAGAATAGTAAAAGAAAGAAATGGGTGATGGATGAGAGTGAAGATAGAAGGTAGAATTATAGTGTGTGATCTAGGGCTAAAGAAGTTGCCGTGTCGTCTTTAGCCTCTTGAATTACTGTAGGGTCAGTGTTAGAAAAAGAAGACAGATCATGTGACACTAGTTCCTCCACCAACCTGTGTTTCGCGTTAATGAGTGCAGGGCAGTGGCAGAGCTAACACTTGCTGTCTCAATTTCTTCTTCATCTTGACAGATCCTACAGTAGTCAATGTCATCGCTATCCCATTTCGAGGTCATTGCCCTCACCTTACTGTGACCTGTTATGATACCCACAAGTTTTAAATCAGGTTTCGACAATGACAGTAGCGACTTTGTTCTCTTCTCCGAGAGAATGGGCCAGATTCGTCCAGCCATCTTTGTTGGATTCTCTCAGAGTAGTGTCTGTGAATAACCTGTAGGAAGTGGCACAGTGGTGGTTTAACCGAGTTCTCTACTTCAAGGGTAGTTGATTCGGATCCTTGCCTGGCTAATTCGTCTGCAGTCACGTTGCCTGGAATATTATAATATAACCTATAACCTGCATAGGTAACGATTTGACTGTGAGAATACACAGTTCCCGCCACTAATACTGTTCTATAGCAGGCATTCTCAAGAGTCTACTGCCGACAAAAACGAAATCAGTTTGTATGGGAGTCATGACCTCCCGGTTCATCTTTCACGGTTTGGAAACGATGTGGGAGGCTAGCGACATGTTGATAACTTTTGTGAGATAGTCAACTCCCAGTATATCCAGCTGCTTTTCTTTGCTTTATAAGCTTTTTCATTTCACATTTTTATAGAAGAAGAATTGAGGCCCTGGTCACAAAGGTCTGGCGAACTATGACATCCGGTTGGGACCATTCTTATTTATCGTGTGGAGGTCCCCAACGGGACTGGACAAGGGGTTTCCATATACAAAGCTATTCTTTATATAGAAAATAAAATAATATTCTTTAAGTTACTGCTACTTTCATACAATTCCACAATAAAATGACTCACATGTGTGGGTTGGTTGTGTTGGTTTTGGGTTTTCGAGACATTTTTTATTGTAATTGAAATTAAATACAAATAGTTTTAAATAAACGAAATGGTTAAAATATGACTCAAATAAGAATACATTCAGTGTTTTAGCTGCTTAAAAGAAAGAACACAATACAAAAAGACAAGAATAATTGGAGGAGGAGACAAACATATAATGGATTTAAAGAAGAAAATAAATATAATTTACAATAATAAAAATGTAATTTTCTTGAAAAATTGGTTTTATTAAAAAGTATAAATGTAATTGCTTTGAATATTTTATATTATTAATTTGTTTTAATAAAATTAATTTATCTATGGTTTTATTGTACGTTCAAGACACACACACATTTACTTTTAGTATTAGTTTTTCTTTTTAGTTTGTGCTGTTGTGTTTAAATTATTATATGCTTTGTAAATCTGTATAATAATGTTTTATATGTATGGCTTACATAGTCCTTTGCATTAAACAAAATATTTGTAAAAATTGAAAACCTCTACAAAATTGTTAGTTTAAAACAACTAAATATTCGCATTGGCTTTGTTGTTGACTTCATGTGTTGATTGGCTGTTTATTTTATATTACCCTCTTTGTGTGTATAAAACTAGTAGCTTGTAAATAAAACTATACAAAAAAAATTTTATAATGGAGGCCCTTTTCCACACTCAGGTGCATTTTGTATAAACTGACTGTGACTGTAAAGATTCCAGCTTGTTTTGTATTTTGTTTAAGGCACTAGTTTTTTATGTTACTGTTTTTGTTATAAAATTGTTGTAGCTTCCTTTCTATGCTTTGCTTTTAAGGTAGCCCATTTTAACTCCCCTTTACATTTTCTTGCTCATGGTCATTTCGTGAGCGGTGCGCAAACGTTTTCTCAACTCACTCGGGAAACGTTCGTAACATTTCTTACACACTGGCTTCTCGTCGTATTCATAGAATTTTGACTTTTGTGTCATTTTCATATCGCACACCGAGCAGGCGAAATGATGAACACACCAGGCTTTATTCAAGGCCGTAAAAACTGCAAAATGAAAAAGGAAGGAATTTAAATTATGTTTTTAAAAAATAAAGAAGAGCCAAAACACACCATCTCCTGCAATCACTTGATTGCATACAAAACACAAATTGCCAAACAATTGATGATAATGAGTTTCACAGTATGCCAGGCCACGTTTCTCGTAGTGACGATGTCCCAAAAAGGGTTTCTCACATTTGGCACAAACGAAATGCTGGCGAAATAAAAATAAAAAATGGATATTAGAGTCAATTGCATTGAATGATTTTAAAACTTTTATAATACAAACCTCGACGTGCCAATGTTTGCCCAGCGCTGTAACAACGCGCTCTTCGATTGGACGGCGGCAAGCGCCACAAATGGGTATGCCCATTTTATCATGACAACGTAGGCAATACAATTCATTCTGAAAAATGATAAAAAAACAACAAAAGTAAAATTAATATTAAAAGGCACTGTGTAGCCCATAGCCCGGGGATAAAAAATTGAAGTGGTCATATTTATTTCCTCGTAGTACTTTTTATTGAGAATTGAAACTTTTAGATAGCTGTTCTACTTCACATAAGCAAAGGACACAAAAAAAAAAAATTAAGTATAGAGATATAGATCTGAAAGATATTTTTGGGGTTAATTTGAAGTGGGATAATGAAGCTGGAAAATTACAAAAAATATTTTAATATGAACTTTTAATAAATATTTTTGATGGACCTTTCGATCGATCGAGGTATGTGTATGGACTTTTTTGAAAATATTTTTAGTTGTCCCCCACTGCAAGAAAATCGATTTTGCACCAACACTCAGAGCAATGTAAATATTTGAAAAAATTTTGGTGGACCTACAGACAGTAAACATAGACTTTTAAAAATATTTTTGAGGGATCCGTATAACAAAACATTTTGACAGTTTTCTCAGAGCAATTTCGCATGATATTTTTTTAAGAATATTTTTGATAAATCGTCTAAACAATAATTGTGGATTTTTCCAGAGTATTTTTAATGGGCATTCAGATTAATTAACGTGCATCTATTTGGAATATTTTTGACAGACTCTCAGAGTAATATAAATGGATTTTTAAACAATATTGTCATGGTCTCTCAGATATCAGATTTAAAATAACATTCTTGGCCGATCCTCAAGGCAATAAATTAAAGAATTTTTACATGCTCCTTTAGGGAAAAAGTTATCCAATTTAGACAATATTATTGCTGAACCCTCAGAGCTATTAAAATGGTCCTTCAAGGAGTATTTTTGACGCACGCTTAAAAAAATTTGAATATTTGGAATATTGTTGAGGAAACATCTGACATTTATTTTTTGATGGACACTCGGATTCATTAACGGACTTATCAAGAATATTTTTAATGGATCTTAGGATATGTACATCTTAAAAATATTTTGGACTCTGAGATGCATGGACGGGAGAATATTTTTGATGGACTCTCAAAATTATAGACGTTGAAATTATGTGACGTTGATAAGCGTGTAGTTTTTGAAAAATATTCGGAAACGGAGCATTTATACCTCAGAGTGTTAATTATTAGCAACATTTTTATTTATTCTTAGGGGTAGAGAACTGAATTTTTAAGTAAACTTTTTGTGGTATCTGAAGACAGTAAATAAGGATTGTCTTGAGGTAGCCGAATTTTCTAATTTCGAGTTAGAGGAAGAAACAGCGGAACTAAACACGCAACATGTATTGCTGTTATTGCTGCAGCAATAAACGCATTAAAGTTCGCCAAGGTGGTATTATAACAAGTTACTGCATCTAGAGGACCATGACGTACTGATAACATGGAGAAAATAACATTGATTATAAAATTATTAAAATAACTGTGAAGAAAATGTGACGATTTCGCACTCTACTACACTTTTCAATATTCTTAGCGAAGGACTGAGACTAGAGCAAGTACTCCAAACTTTCATCTACCTATTAATTATCTTGTAGAGTTTAAAATGGCTACGAAGATATAAGAATACATTTTCTTTGTATAATGTTCTAAACCTATTATATCATACTAGGGCCCTTTACGAAGCTTGCCTTTTCGTATCTATTTATTTGTTTTGCATGAAATATTCAGGATTGTTTTAGGAATCCCGCGTGATATATGAAATCTTACCATATCATTAGCTGCCAAACCTGGACGACTTTTAACTTCTCTGGCTGTTGAATCCAATTCTTGGCCACAGGCCGTACAATTGAAATGATATCCGTGATATACTTCACCACGGAAACGCAGTGGTTCATCATCAATCAGGCCGCTGGAATTTAAAATATTTTTCTTTACTGTAGTAGCCTTAAATAAATATATTAAGATATAAAAAAGACTTACTGGCATTTTTGGCACACATAACGACCAGTGATTTCAGCCTTAACCTTGGCATTGCACTCGTGACATAAGGCACGATTTTGATTGCGTATAAAACCAGAATCGGCCAATTCTTTGGAACACAACTGGCAACGGAAGCACTCTGGATGCCAACTGGCCGACATGGCCTTAATTACGCGACCAATAACGAATTCGCCGCATTTATTGCAACAGGGTGCAAACAGAACATGGAAATCACGTTCACAATATTTGCGTCCCTCGAATTCGTAAAAAATGCCATCTTCAAAAGGCCGGAAGCACTGGGCACATCTAAAAATTTAAAAACGGACAAAGGAAATTAAAAATATTAAAAGAAAAAATGTTAAGATAGTACATACACAAAACATTGGGTGTGCCATAATTCACCATTGGAATTGACTATTTTCTCATTTGGTTCAAAACCATCTGCACATCGGGTGCAATGCATTGCCCCCAATGACATGTTAGCTGCCTGTAATCTGAAAAAATAAGATAATTAAAAAATTAAATAAAATAAGTTTCTTAGATATCGACACGTAGGAAAAATATGTTTTGTTAGTACATTGTTGATCTCCGATTATTGGTAATCATTTTTAAGATTCTCCGCTTTTCGTTTCAATCCTTCTTTAGCAACGTTTAAATGTATACTGTGGTCAATGCATTTATTTTAATGCCCCTATGGTTTCAATCGTTTCTTATCAACTTTGCTTGTATTGTGATTCATGACAAACACCGCTAAACCGGTGACGTTTACTTTGGCTAACCAAATAAAAATATTTAATGTCATATTTCGATATCAGTTTTAATGTTATCCATATAAATAATATGACGGTATGTAACGAAAGTCAAAGGAACCCTATGTAACTATACAAATATAGAAAAGAAATTTTCCGTGACTCCTTGGATTTAGTCTTCACAGGCCTCTATTGCAGGCTGAATAGACGTTCCGCCAATCTTTATCAATTTTTGAATAGTGATTGACTACTGCATCAGCAGGCAGGTCCTTCCAAGCACGCCGTTTTGGGGAGCTCTACATATCATATAATGGTTTGGATGACTCATCGCAGATAGCTGTGGCTTGCGTTTCATGCTGCATTTTCATCTCATCAGTTCATTCGATAGAGATTGGTTGTTGATATAGTGCGAATATTTCCCTTGAAATAAGGCGGTAAGCTCCGTAGATATGTGTTCAACATAACGATAGGATCCGACGCAAGTATAGTGCAATCATCCTCATAAGCAACTACCTCAAAAAAGTAAAGGTTAAACAGTTCCGGAGATAGCACCCTACCTTAGGAAACTTCGTTTCATTCTACGGGTTTAGACAACTGGAGTCCATTTATATTATGTTTTAAACTAGGCCGGAGGTTGTACTCTTCACGTGGCGTGATAGACTGCATCAAAACCATCTTGTTATATGGCACGGCTTGTGCTGGTTAATATCTCGACTATTATGTGTGTACATGGTGGCAACACCGTTGTGGTACTATGTGGCGGGCGATACTAATGCTGATGATGCGCCACTGCATCTACATCTGGATCTACTAATATGTGTGTATATATAGCATTTTCAGATTAAATGAAACCTTTTGCAATTCAAATGAAACTTTTTGCAGCGGGAATGAAACCTTTTGCAGTGGAATTGAAACCTTTTGCAGTGGAAATGAAACCTTTTGCAGTGGAAATGAAACCTTTTGCAGCGGAAATGAAACCTTTTGCAACCGAAATGAAACTTTTTGCAAATCAAATGAAACTTTTAAATTTATAGAAGGAAAAAAAAAAACAAAACATTTTTATTTTTAGTAGTTTTTAAATTAAATCAATTAATTATAACTAATATATTGACAAAGAGGATTTTTTATTGATTATAAATATCTACATTTATTTATATTATTTCTTACATTTTCAATTATTGTAATAACAAATGGTTCTTTATTGATTTGTTATAAAATGCTTCCATGTTATTAAATTCCAAATGCTTAACGCTAAAAAGAGAAATTTAAACAAATTTTGGCCAGGACTGAAATGTGATATTAAGCTTTACCACAATTTTTTATAGTTATAGTATACTATTAATCTTACCTAATAAAGGATTCCCGCTTCGCAGCTTTATTGATTATGGAGATAGAGCAGTCGAGATTTCAATAGACAGATAAGTGGAAATCATTAAATCAACTATGATCATGATTGCATATTCTATATGGGATCTACGACGAATATTTAGAGGTGTTACAAACCGAATGACAAATTTAATATATCCTCCTTTCCATGGAGGAGATTATAAATGATACCTAATTCGGGTCGTTAAAAAAATACCTTGAAAAACTTTTTTCAATCTTTCTGCATCTACACTTGTGTTTTATGGAAGTTTTAAGAAAAAATTTTATAAAAACATAAATATTAATACTCAATAAAAATTCCTCTTTAACGATATATTAGTTATAATTAGTTGATTTAAGATTAAACCTACTAAAAATAAAAATGTTTTGTTATTTTTCCTTCTTAAAATCTAAAAGTTTCATTTGATTTGCAAAAAGTTTCATTTCGGTTGCATATGGTTTCATTTCGGTAACAAAAGGTTTCATTCCCGCTGCAAAAGGTTTCATTTCCACTGCAAAAGGTTTCATTTCCACTGCAAAAGGTTTCAATTCCACTGCAAAAGGTTTCATTCCCGCTGCAAAAAGTTTCATTTGAATTGCAAAAGGGTTCATTTAATCTGAAAATGCTATAGCTGCAACACCGTTGTGGTACTATGTGGCGGACGATACTAATGTTGATGATGCGAAACTGGAACTGCATCTAGTTCTGTGGGTGAGTAAAGACTCAAGATCGACATGCTTGACTCCCCTTTGCAGGCATCCTTACCCGGCGGAAAGAGATCTTATACGAATTCGTGGAGACGTTGAACGAATCTGCGATGTTATCATCCTTTTTCCCAAGGTTCATATATGGTCTAGTCCCATTTTCCACATGTTTTCCCATACCAATCTGTGGATCTTCACTGTCAGGCCGCTAAGTCTGGTAGAATTGGAACGCCGTAACTCATCACGCTCATTTTCTAGTCTAATAAGGTACTCCAACTCCCAACTTTTAAAAAATTTCGTTGAAAAATTTGCTTAATTCATCAATATTCGTTATATGGGGTATATACTGCCGCTTGGACCTATATGGACTATACTTTGCAGTGATATTTTCTGCACAAACCTACCTATATATATGTACTTATACGTATTCTTGTTAACATCCACGATGAGGGTTAAACAAACAAAAAATCTTTTATCCATTCCAATCAGAAATAAACATTCACCCATAAACATAAAAAATGGTCGGATACAAACATGAATTCATTTATTTTCGACTGGTACACAGATACCTGATCGAGGGAGAAAGAGAGCGGACTGAGAGAATGACAACATTGTGGGAGAGGTTGATGAAGAAACAGTAGCGACAACAACAACAATATTTATTATAAAAACGAAGATCCATCTATTAATAACAATGACGTCATAAACCCCAAAATAAACATCTGGACTTGTGGAAGGCAATGAACAATCATTTAATTTTGAATCATTGGTGGCGGCATAGAAAAGTAATGAAGATGAACAGGCAAACAATTTTGAAAACAAAATCAATTAAATTACAAAGATGTACAAATGAATATAAAAATTTATGGTAGCTTCTATTTAGCAGTTGGTTAATTATAATATTCTGAGGCATTGCTTTCATAAATACATAGATATTTTCATATTTTCTGATTTTCTTATTAAAAATTGGGGGCATTTTAAAATAATGCCGTGTTTGCAAAATATTCAACAAAGTATGAGATAATCGTAGGCGTCAAATGATAGGCGACTGCTTCGTTTCATTGACAAAAGACACATACACCAAGGGGTGATGAATGATGGCGGAGGGAGTATTGAGTTATTTTTACGTTGATTTGTTTATTGTATGGGCACAAATAAAGTTCACTTTGTATGGGCGTTAGACGTCGGATGTAAACTACCATACTGACTGAATGACTGCATGCTTGTCTGTCTGTCCATTCACCTGTACGTTTCAAGTTGATTTCATTCACAAATTCTAAGTAATTTTTGTAAAATGTAGGTGCTGTAAATAGATGACAATGTTTGTTGGGCGTTTTGGTGATGAAAAGATCGGCAATTTCAACACATAAATTAAGGTCACTAATGACGTTTAATAAATTTCAGGAATATAGTGGCCATTCACTACCGAAACCACGGAGCAAGTTGAGTTTAGGGGCTGTGCTCTGATCATTTTGAAATTTTTACCACAGGTAGGTATTTTTAAACTGATTACGGCAATATAAATTTTTTGTGGGGGAAATAACCGGTTACCCGGTTATTGGACCCGAAAGTTCAGATACAATGTTCGGTTTTTATCCGGTTCCACTGAACCGATACAAACAAAATGGGTATCATTGGAAAGCTTATGAAAATACCTATCCAACAAGTGGTCACATGAACCGGTTACAAGAACCGGTTCCAGAGTAATGCAAGAAAATTGATATTTTTTACCAGTACTTTTTGAAAAACCCATAAAAACTCAAAAATGGACCCATTATAAGGTATTAAAATCTACATACCGTATTATAGCCAACAATATTGCCTTTCCAAAATGGTATCATACATGTTGATATCTTTTGTAGTTCCGAAGATATTAGTGATAGAAGTCATTAATTTGCAATTTTTTCTCCAGTCAAATGTATCTAACCTCTATAGCATTTTTAAACAGCCGGCCTTCGGCCGGGGTTTGAGATTTTCTTCTCTGGGGTATGTCCAACACCGGCTACGCGATCGCTAGTTTTTCTTAACATCGTAATCTTTGTAGGTAGCCGGCCTTCGGCCGGGGCTTGAGATTTTCTCCTCTGGGGTATGTCCTACACCGGCTACGCGATCGCTAGTTTTTCTAAACATCGTAATCTTCGTAGGTAGCCGGCCTTCGGCCGGGGCTTGAGATTTTCTCCTCTGGGGTATGTCCAACACCGGCTACGCGATCGCTAATTTTTCTAAAAATTGTAATTTTTGTAAGTAGCCGGCCTTCGGCCGGGGCTTAAGATTTTCTCCTCTGGGGTATGTCCAACACCGGCTACGCGATCAATAGTTTCCTAAAAACTGTAGTTTTCGAAAGTAGCCGGCCTTCGGCCGGGGCTTAAGATTTTCTCCTCTGGGGTATGTCCAACACCGGCTACGCGATCCATAGTTTTTCTAAAAATTGTAATTTTTGTAAGTAGCCGGCCTTCGGCCGGGGCTTAAGATTTTCTCCTCTGGGATATGTCCAACACCGACTACGCGATCCATAATATTCTAACAACACCAAATTAAAAACAAAGCAGATTAACAAGAACGTTAAACCCGACATAAAACTTGGCTTCACTCATACTACTTTCATAAGTAACAACTTTAAAAGCCAATATCTTCGGAATTACAAAAGATATCAACACATATGACACCATTTTGGAAAGGCAATAGTGTTAGCTATAATATTGTGTATAGATTTTAAGACCCTATAATGGGTCAATTTTCGAGTTTTTATGGGTTTTTCAAAAAGTACTGGTAAAAAATATCAATTTTCTTGCATTACTCTGGAACCGGTTCTTGTAACCGGTTCATGTGACCACTTGTTGGATAGGTATTTTCATAAGCTTTCCAATGATACCCATTTTGTTTGTATCGGTTCAGTGGAACCGGATAAAAACCGAACATTGTATCTGAACTTTCGGGTCCAATAACCGGGTAACCGGTTATTTCCCCCACAAAAAATTTATATTGCCGTAATCAGTTTAAAAATACCTACCTGTAGTATAAATTTCAAGTCAATCCGAGCACAGCCCCTAAACTCAACTTATGCCGAAACCACTAACAATATTATGTCATTTTTATGCGATATTCCCTTTTAATTTAAGGTGTTTTCTTTTGCCTTTTGACTTCATCATATACTATGGCGACATGGATGCTTACTCAACGGGAGGCATATTAAAGAATTCTTCTAGACAGATGACAACAACAACCCGAAAGATGACAGCACAATATGCAATAACGTCCGATCACTCGTTGGCACACGTTCACTGCAAAAATTCTCGCGAAACTAAATGCGAAATATGAAAATGAATTTTAGCCAAATGTTTACCTTCCATGAAACAAAAAGAGCACAATTCATGATTTTGTTTGCACATTGAATGAGAAATCAACTGGTAGTATAACTTCCCTCCTTCTCCGCCATCACAACCAACTTTCTTAACAACCCGCATTCATTAATTTATATTCCTTATGCAAACCAATTGGGCAACCACATATTCTATAACTGAGAATTGTTGTAAACTCTCCATGAGTTGTTGCTGTGTTGAGTTAGTTTTCTTATGGATCTGGATTTTGATCTCCTCCCTAAATTGGCAAAGTCAAACAAGATAACACACGTCGTTTTCTTTTTTTTTTATCAATTTGGAAGAGCAATAGGTGTTTTGTCACAACATTCTCGCATACCACTATTCATGATTTATCTTCGATTTTCTTGCACTGAATTTTTTGGATATTTTATCTCTATTTTATTTCTTTATCATTCTTTTATTTTGTAATTTACCTTTTATTTATTTATTTTTTGGAATCTTTTGGATTTCTCCGTCAGAGCGATGTTGGTACAATACCCAAAGTATTTATGTACCAATACTTTTTGGTTATTGGTTATCGGTTATGTATTCTTTGGTTGTTGCTTTTATGTCATTTCTTTGAAACCAAAATGATAGTCGTCCCCAACGAAACAAATAAGAAAGGCAAAAGGGAATGAACACTGAAAATTAAAGAGAAAGCAAAATCACCCAGTACTTCTTTTGTTTACGAATGATACATGAGGAAAACGCAATCAGCTGGAAGCATTCATTAAAAAGAAACTACTCTCTACTAGGGATATGTAAGTCGACTATTTATACAAAACGAGGCCGGCGGATCTAGTGGCCAACGGCGGTTGATTTTATTGTTCTTATGGTCGATTTTGAAGTTATCTTTTAAGCATGGCTCATGGTAGAAGAATATAGGTGGACGCGTCGACACAGCTGCTTGGGCAATGAACTGTCAAACCAATTTTGGAATTGAAAATGTTGAATGAAAAATTATTTAAATTTGTAAAAATTGTTGGAAAACGCGAATTATAATAGCCATGACGTAGTATATGAAAGTATATGAAAATCTACTTATATTTGAAAAAAAAAAAACATTTAAATTTTTTTGACATATCAATGCTCCCAAGCTTTGATGCATCTACCTGTATTCTTCTGCCATGGCATGGCTCAAGAAGGAAGGTTGCTCAAATTCAGAGAAACTAGAAAAATCCAACTCTGTGCTGGAGTCTTATAGTGCCAAATAGACTTTTAAATATGCAACATATGGTTTTTTTGTTTATTTTTATTTTTTTAAAGAAAACTCGCGAAATAAGAATAGAATTTTGGGGTTATTACAAAAGATTGAATAAAAAATAGTAGGACAAAAAAGTTTTATCCGAAAATTGTATAATGTGTTCCGTTAACGTCGAAAATAATAAAAAAATTGTATTTAAATTGTATTGATTACCACATTTAATGTCAAAATGGATAATTGTGCAACTAACCAGCTTAATGTGAACAAGGGTATATAAATCTGAAGACTTGACAAATAGAGGTAAAAAGTTTGGAGTACTAAATAAATTTACTAAGGAAAAAGGCTCGCATTTGAATAAACCATGCTAAAAACAAGAACTGGCCGGCTTCTTCAGAAAAGAACAAAGGATCGTATGACCAAAATCGAACAAAGTTAATCTAACACTCCTTTGTTTCTCTACGAAGAAGCCAGGTGACCGATGACTTAAGTCAGTCAAAAAAATTATTTAATGTACTCCCATCTTAAACACATTTGAAATAAGCATATGCATCTCTGCATTTACCTTGTCAAATTTAACCGCATAGAAAGCAGGTTCATATCTCTGATTTTTGTACGAGATGTTGTCAAATTAACAATTGTGAACATAATTTAAATATTCTTAATTCACCATGGAATAAACAAAGAGAAGGCGAAAACTAGATTCGCATTCGCCACAATTTTTTTTAAATATATGTATAATAGGAAAAACTCGAATGTCTTAAAAAAAGTGGCGACAATGTTCTTAACATTTAATTTATTTTTGCATGAAAATTTAACTTTTTAAGGTTTTTGTAACGCATGAATTATCAAATACAACATCTCTAACAATTTCGGTGAGTATTGTACCCAAAATCGTTAAAATACCGAATATAATAATTTGAAACCACTACGGTGAATAATGATGCTAAAATCACTTGCACAGATAATTTTCTGTCTCAGGCTGTAGTATTCATTTCGAACTTCAAATGCCAAATTGGAAAAAATTCCGGTGAATAATGTCGCTAAAATCATCAAAATACCGAATATCGGGAAGTACCGTTATTTGGGGGCTATATGAAAACGTGGTCCTACATGACCCATTTACGAACTTAACCTGCCTACTGGGAAAATAAACATGTGTGCAGAATTTTAGCCTTCTATCTCAATTCGTTCGAAAGATAGCGTGATTACAACAGACAGACGGACAGCCACACAGACTGACATGGCTAAATTGTCTTAAAATATATATACTTTGTTGGGTCTAAGATCATTATTTCGATGAGTTACAAACGGAATAACAAAATGAATATACCTTCCATAAAGCTTTAACAATTGGAGTTACCATTATATGGGGATTATACCTTATGACATGGAATGGAATGACAAACTTAATATATCCTCCATGCTATGGCGGAGGGTATAAACATTTTACGGAGCTTAATTACATTATTTGGATATGGTTAAATCGACATAGGGCCTTTTTTGCTGATTAAGAATATATGAAGTTCGTGGGACTTACAATGTTTATTTTAAGATGTTACAAACGGAATGACATACTCAATCATTTATTTTATACTATTTGTATAATTTTTACTTTTTAGTTTTTTTCGGGTTAACCTTCATTATGAAGATTTATTTGAGGTATAGGCAATAGAGATGACGATTTTAACCGGCTTGGTTTTCTAAATTCTTTGCAACATAAATTTGAATTTTCAATGCATTATTATTTCGTCAAGGTATTAATTCCTAACATTATTAAGTTGAAATATAAATATATAGTTGTGTATTTTTTTTTTTCAAAATATGTTTAATAGAGAAACGAATACCGTGGATAACAGCGCTATCTAGCGAAACATAGCGTGCATTGAAAAACAAAATCTTCACAGTTGTGAGCTTTTGTATATGTCAAGTGAAACGGAAGTTTCTGTTTAACGGAAACAATGAACGACAAAATTAAATTTACATTGAAAATGATTGTTAATTTTGTAAACAATTGTGTAAACTTTTGTTTACATCAATACGATCAACCTCGTTGCCCTTTATTTTTTCTCAATCAATGCAAGTGTTAATCACAATGTGGATACTAATTTGAAATAGTCAATGGTTTTGTAAATTGTATTTTTAATGTCTAAAATTTGATTAACATTCAAAAAATCAATAATAGAATAATTCTTCCACAATCGAATGTAATTTCTTCACAACCCGTTTGACATATCGCCTAAAAATCCTGATTGTCCAATTTCATTGAAAATGAACTTTCTCTTAAAATGCACTTGGATCTTCCTTGAAAAAGGTCATAATTTCATTCATTAACAATTTTTAACGCCCTAACAGCTCCATTATTACAGTTATTTACCAAATATTGAGACAACAGGAAGATAAAGAACTACCACAACTGTGGTGTCACGTAATGTTCTCATTCTTCAAGAATTAATCAGAACGACCAAAAGAAAACAGCCGACCGAGCGATTCGATCAAAAAACTGTAAAATGTAAACAACAACAAGGTCAACATTTCATAAACGTAACATAACATAATACAACAACAACGACAACAAGAAGCGAACATAAATTGAAAAAAATCATATCTATGAAAACAACTCGTGTGCGTATAAACGGATGGACAGACGTAACGACGTAATGGACTGCGTGAATAGACTTCCCCAGATTGCCGAGACAAACGGCACGTACATCCATGGCAACAGTCAAGATAGCCAAAGCTATTTTTGTCATCGTTACATGACCAGATGAGGAGAGAAGAGGAGAGTGTTGTTGACGTTTTCTTTTTAATAAAAAGGCGAAAAAGACGAAGGGGAAACCACATTAACAAAACAAATACAAATTCAAGAGAAAAACAAGACGACAACAACAACAACGATCTAAAAATGTGTTTTTGTTTTTCTTTGGTGTTTTGGCAGGGCACCAACAACAACATTCCTAATTGGTGGTTGACAACAAAAAATAAATGTATTTACAGAATTCATTGGAATACCAATTTGTAATAGGGCCCAAATAAATGTCTAAATGATCGCGGTCAGGTACACCAAACATAGCGCCATAACCCGGAAAATATTCTGAATGGAAATTGCCACACTCAACCGTCTGTGTAATAAAAGCTAAACGTAAACAACCACATTGAAAATTGATAGTCTTGGAAGTGTCTAGAAATGAGTGAACCAAAGTCCGGAGATCATATTGGTGAAGAAGATGCGTGAGAGATTCTATTACACTTGTCTTTGATTGTCTATTTTTTTTATAATTTATGTCATGTGTGTGTGTGTGTGAAAACTTACTTTGTGCACAGTGCTTGGAAACGAAATTTTAATTAAAAGGAAATTCTGTTGAACCCTTGAATTCTTCTGGTGTTTTATGGGAAGAACTTCTGGCCTTCAATGAAACGACCTTCGGGTCTTCTATGAGATGACTTTCGGGTCCTCTATGAGAAGACTTTCGGGTCTTCTATAAGAAGACCTTCGGGTCTTCTATGAGAAGACCTTCGGGTCTTCTAAAAGACGACTTTCCGGTCTTTTACGTCTTCTGTAAGCAGACCCTCCGACCGCGTGTCTTCTATGAGAAATACATTAGTTTTTTCTATGAGAATACCTACTTTTCTTCTATGAGAAAGACATTCGTTTCTTCTATAAGAAGACCTTCGTTTCTTTTATGTGAAGACCTTCGTTTCTTTTATGTGAAGACCTTCTGGTCTTCTATATGAATACCTTCTGGTCTTCTATATGAATACCTTCTGGTCTTCTCTATGAAGACCTTCTAGTCTTCTATGTGAAGACCTTCTGGTATTTTATATGAAGACCTTCTAGTCTTCTATGTGAAGACCTTCTGGTATTTTATATGAAGACCTTCTGGTCTTTGATGAAAAGACCTTCTGGTCTTTGATGAAAAGACCTTCTGGTCGTCTATGAGAAGACCTTCTGGTCTTCTACGAGAAGACTTTCTGGTCTTCCATGAGAAGGCCTTCTGGTCGTATATGAGAAGGCCTTCTGGTCTTCTATTAGAAGATCTTCTGCTATTCTGTGATCTTCTGGTATTTTATGAGAAGGCCTTCTGCTCTTCTATGAGACGTCCTTCGGGTCTTCTATGAGAAGACCTTCGGGTCTTCTATATGAAGATCTTCAGGTCTTCTATTAGAGGATCTTCTGGTCTTCTATTAGAAGATCTTCTGGTGTACTGTGAGAAGACCTTCTGGTCTTCTATGAGAAGCCCCTCGTTTCTTCTATTAGAAGATCTTCTGGTGTTCTGTGGGAAGACCTTCTTGTCTTTTATGAGAAGCCCCTCGTTTCTTCTATGTGAAGACCTTCTGGTCTTCTTTGAGAAGACCTTCTGGTCTTTTATGAGAAGACCTTCTGGTATTTT